CTCCCCAGCCTTCTCACAGGTTTCGGCGTCCCCGTCGCCGTCCGCGTTCCCGCTGCTTAAAGTCCCTAGTCACCAACAACAGTTCTTTTCAGAACTACACTCACCCGGACGATCACACTATACGAACTACCATTCATGCTATTAGAAATTAATTTATTCAATATTGAACTTGTTATTGAACAAGCAACAAAAACTTATTAGTAATAGTAACTGGACCGAGCGGATAGAGCACAATTCAGGGAGTAATCGCAAATAGGCACGCAGAGAACCAATCACGATCAAGAATTTTGTTATAGATACGATTAGTAGTACAATATGGTAATTTGTCTCTGGGGTGGGGAAGATATCTAACTTTTTAAGAAAATGAAACGTCCCCAAACTATAGAGCAGACAAGCTGCGTAGCAGGCTCTCAAGATGTGAAGAGAAACTCACGAAAGATGAAGCAAAGAGAAAAAAGTTAGGCATGTGAGGCTTTTATTCTTAGCAAACTCGAATGTTAAGTCACCGAAGCGAAAATTTTAGTATTTTACTAGTCCTAGTGTAGCTTCTTTTATTGCTGATAGTTGTGAACTAAGGTCGTGTTAAAATAACGAAAGTTCCTTAAAACGTATAGTCTTCAATGCGCCTTATCTCGAAAACAAGCCCGGTTTCTCCACCCCATTTTAAAGTTGATCTTTACCTTACTAAATGTTTTAAACATAATCTGTACGAGGGAACACTTTGGGCGCGAATCAAACGTCCTTAAGTGTAAGAACCGCATAAGCTTAGCTTATGATAAAAGGCATACATACTGGGGAAAGGTCGTATCTTTGTAAAGCTGTTATGCAAATTTAGAGGAAAATGATATGTTGAAGATTTGATCTGACGGTTAGTGTGCGTGAGCCTTCAAACGCAAAACTAACAGTTGATTGCTGTGAAAATTTATTTTTAGCTTGATGAAGAGAATATTTTTGGATCTTTGGCACTTAGAAAAGGGCAAGATGAGAATTATTTACAATATCAAAAAGCCTCACAAATTTTGGTACATTGATAATCGATTACTTAAAACTCCATAAAATCAACATACCCAGTTAATTCGCTTGAAGTAAAGTCCATCGACACAAAAACAAAGCCCGAGTTTTTGGCTCCTAAAATGTCAAAATGGTCGTCAAGGCGGTCATAACCCGAACAATGAAACACGATACGGGAAAAACCGAAAGGAAACGAAGCGCTAGCCAACGGAAGGAAAGAAAAGCTGCTTGCTGGGGAAACCAAGTCTAGGGTCAAGAATTGGACCAGAAGTACTTTTCACGAGAACTAACGGTTAATGTTAATAAACCCATTTGCAGTTTTAGAATACCAGAAGAAAAAGTGTTCCAAGCAGATGAAACAGGATCAGAAACGGCCAATGATCTCTCCACGACAAGAAGGTGCTGCTGGCTGAAACACCGTCCCTCTAATATGTATGGGGGATACACACCGAAGCCAGGTTTGTTGACTTGTTAGAGATATTCTTACCTTACAGCAGTATTAATCACTGTGATCAATTATAGTCTTAGCGAATAAGTCACTGTGTATTTTCGAAGCGGTATTTACGAGTTCCTTGGCTCTAATTTCTACAAGGAATGACGATCTTTTCACGTAACCCAGCGTTTGCGGCCCAACTGCACTACCTTTACAATTTGTTTGACAAGAGGAAAGCAGGTCAGTAAAAACTCATTGAAAACGTTTTAAAACGGCCTCAAACTCCACAGCAACATAAGAAATGCATAAGTGAAGGGGGGAAGGCGCTTTCATTGCATTTTTTTTCCATATTCCAGGCGCTGAATACGTTGGCTACGTTCCTATATAAACTCTTTTGTTAACCTTGTTTCATAATAACGATCGCATAACGACGTTCGCAGAAACGCAACCTTGATCCCAGACTCTTTCTCCTTTCCTTGGGATCCTCTCACGCAGTGGTGACATCATCATCATCATCATAAGCTTTATTTATACACGGTATCAAATTCATCATACAAAATATGTTCTTCCATCGAGCCATGTCTAACCTAGATATAAAAGTTACAATTTATAAGTAATCTACCACGAGCACTAT